ATAATTCCAGGTTTCATTTGCTTTGAAATTGCATTTTCCAATTGCTTCCAATGATAAGTTCTGGAAAAATGTGGTCCAACATGCCAGTGAAATAAAGACTTAAAAAAAAAAATCAGTTGACATACTCTGTAAATGTAGTAATTATCTTTTATACTAAATTCAAAGTATGGTAAGATTGAAGTAAAAATTACAAGCATAATTTTAACACTAAATTCTTTAAGAACAAGACAAATTTTTAAATAAATATAAAACTACTTACATAAATTTTCTGTTTGAAAAATCATTACTAATTTTGGTCACTGGCCAACTGTTCTATCTCTGTTATCAGAGATGAAGTATTACAAGTCACCAATACTTATTCAAAAAATTCTAGTTATTCAGACACCAAGTAACTTGAGAGATAAAGCAGTCTGCTTTATTTTGTAAGACTATAATGGAAAGATGGCCCTGAAGCACTTACAGGAGTTATGTACCTTCTGAGTTATCAGAGCACAGTTACATCTACCTCAGTAGTGTTTTAGTATTAAGGACATTTTAAATAAAAACTAATAGAAACACTTGGTCAATCAAAACACTGAAATAGCAATACCAGACATAAAGGAAAAAAAAAACAAAACAATTTATACAGACGTTTTTCTGGTTCTTGAGAAAGTTGGCAAAGTGAATCGAACTACCAACATAAGAGTTTCCAAAATGAAAGTATTAGCATACAATAACCTATATCCAGGCCTCAAACAGTGGTACAAAAATTGTTTTCAATAACTCCAAAATAGGGAACAAGGCCCTGCTCTATTTTGGAGTTATTTAGCATTTTATAAGATAATATTTAACCAGTTCTGTTTTCTTGAACACAAACATACACACGCGTGCACGCATACAGAAAAAAAAGAAATTGATATCGACTGTGTGAATGGAGTTTTGTTTATGCAAAGACCTCTCAGAAAGATATTTATGAATTCCAACATATATCCAATTAGGAAAGAGAGGTTGTTTTTTTTTTTCCTATGAAAAGAAAAGATTCTGGCTAGAAGCTGAATTTTTGAAACTCTATTTCTCATTTTAAGTTATTTTTTAAAAATCCCATTTTAGCATTAGTTAGGAAATTTTCTACCCTATGTTATGTCACAATTCCAGAATATTTTTGCTAGCTATAGCCTCATAACCAAAATCCATTTTCTAATTCTTTTCTTCTAGATTGTAAAACATAGTTCTAAAATTAAATTAAACTCTGTTGGCGTTTAGGGGTACACACTCTGTGGTATGGCACAGAATGCTTTAAAGAATAATATTCTCATTAAGTGTAAAACTCTCATTTGATACTGTTAAAATACATTTCTAAATTGATGCTACCATGTAAGAAAAGAAAACTGAATGGCAAAATGAAATGGAATATTGTTAGTTATGTTCTGTAAGATATATTCTGCCTTTCAACTGGCTCAAGTAAGATTATTATTGATTACTAGTAAACTTTGGCCAAAAGCTTTTCCTAGGCCAGAAAGGAAAGCAAGGACAATTATTCCTCTACTTTTTCCCTTTTCCCTGACAACAAATATTTTATTTTTTCAAGTGTGAATCCTAGGCACTCCAAACGTTATATATAAAGAAACATTTAAAGCTTAATTCTTCTAAGAGAGTTACCTTGGCTTCCTGTTTAAATCTTTAGTTAAAATAAAAGGTAGTAAGAGTTGTAATACAACTTAACAATGCACACAAAGAAATCCAAGTGCAAAATTAAACATAAAAGATGCATTGTCCTTTTAGGTTCTTAATACCTACAGTCCCCAAATAGCAAACTACTGGTTACTTTTTTTTTTTTTAAGTAAGTAGATTAAAAACAAGATTAACAAAATATCCAATGCATGTCAAGTTATAGCCTCTACTAGTTAAAAATTCTGTTGGTTGTAAAACTCTGTTGGTGGCCATATTGGCTAGGATTTTTAATATAAATGAGACTAGAAATGACAGGGGATGGGGGAAGGGACTTTTCTTCTTGAATGGTTAAAGAGGGAAAATTTTATCTAGAATGAGTTATTTGAAAGATGAAGCCAGGCTTTATTAAAATCAGAAAATACAGCAGAAATTAAAACACAAGACTAGTGACATATAGTTAAGTATTTTTAAAACTTCTAAAAACATTTTTGAAATATTTAAAATATTAACTGAGAAAATTGTGTAATAACTAAATAAAAGCATTATTTTTTTCTTGTAGGAGTCTACACTGGTAATTTAAAGACACGAAATTATATGACATAATTTTATAGTCATTAAAATATATAAAGTTGGCATAGTCATATAGTTGTTATAATATGCACATGCGTATATTATTTTAGAGTTTTATTAGCATGTATGCTTTAGAATGATGGGCTTATTTGATTAATGTAGTGGACTCTAGTCAAGTTTGGTTAAAAGCCATTCTATTTATAAAATATGTTGTTAAAGAGATTTCATTTTATTTTTCATGAAATTGCTGAAAATAGCAAACACTTCTCTTCTAGAACTTTCTATTTACTTCCAAATGTATTTTAAGGAATTTTTTATTTGGAACATTCCACAAGTCCATCTATATCAATCGACTATACCACTTTTCTTATGTGTTGAGAAACACTACTCTGTTTAATGTATACTTTCTTTTTTTTTTTTTTAAAAGGAAAGTGATTTCTGGATAAGCCTTGATTTGTAGTTGTTAAAATTTAAGTTGCTCTGTAAATGGCCTTCTAGTCTTACTGGTTGGGAAGCAGATAAAAGCAACTGAAAAGCTCTTAAATATAAAAATTTCCAAACTGGATACTAATTACTTTCCCCCAAAAAAACACAGTTTTGAGTAGTAGGAAAGAGATTTTTTTGGTTAAAAAATGAAATTAATCAACGCTTAAATGTATTAAGTTCCAGAGTTATAAGCAGACTGGTTTAAATGAATAACAGTAACAATTCTAATCCAGGCTTCTCTACTTGGTCATCATTGCGCTGACTGATGCCACATTCATGTGTGAGGGCTACTATGAGTCAATAGATGGCAGTCCATCGCTTAGTAAAAGAGCTGAAGATGACTAAAATCACCATGCATCTTGTTCTTATTCAAGAGTGAATATTGCTTAATTGCATACATTTGGATATTGCCCCCATATATTGATACAATAATTATTTAATTTTAGATGAACTGACATGTATGCACACATATTTGTAAGCACACTCATTTCATATTTACTCTTCTGTGGTAAACTTATTATTAATTTAAACATGAAAAGTATAGGTTGTGATGGTTATTCAGTATTACTTTTCAAAGCCAGATAGGATTCCAGATTAGGACAAAGTTTTCAAACTGAATTTGTTATATCTATAGACAGAATATATTGTAATTCTCTGAAAATAAACTTCATTTTGTTTTCATTTACTTTTTCCTGACAATTCTTTTTACAATTTATGTTTCCTTCTGAAAAGCTAAAACAAACCTTCAAATATGTCTATTGCTAAACTGAAACCAATTTTTACCCTTCAACAATAGTTATATAAAATAAAGTAGGTGCAAATAACCAAAAGAACAGCTTTGAAACAGTATTTCCCATACTTCAAGACAGTAATTCTTTAAATTAGGAGAAAGCTAAAAGAAATGCAATGCCAAATCTATTACGATAGTACGTTATACAGTTACAAAGAGTAGGTCTGTGATCTGAAAAAGTATAATACAGATATTATTAGATTCTATTTAAGTTTAGGTAATAAAGATTTTACCATATTATGTTAGGATAAGAATGTGCTATTAGGCACAAACCTAATATTATCAGATGAGTTATATCTGGCATATACATATATAACATAAATGGATGTGTATTTTTTTTTTGGTATAACTTTTAATATTTCAACAAACCCAAATCCGGGATTTGAGGGATAGTGGAGAAATTTCAGCTTTCTACTGAAAGTCTTTCAATAAATTAAATAGTAAAACAAAGTGTGAAAACAAACCACCTGACATTATTCCTGGCTTCTTGGGCCTGTGATAGACAGACTGGAAGTTTGAGTCCATTTGTTGGTTTACTTTCTATTTCTATTACAGGAGAGTCATAAGAAGAAAGACATGTTTCACAAAAGCTTTGCCCTTTCTATTTACAATACCTGTCTTTCTATAAAGAAAACTTTTTAACATGCTAAGGAACAACCTTTAACAATCATTTAATTGTTAAAGGTTGTTCCTTAGCATGTTAAAAGTTTAACAATTAATTAATATATTATACTACGTAACTGTACAATTGAAAGAATAATAATCTCCTGCTCAGTACAACATACTACATTAAAAGAAGTGACTAGTAGGGCTATGGAGAATTACTGAAATTATAGAAGCTGATTATTAAAAGTAAACTAACTTCATAATATTAAGCCAATTAGATTCTATCGCAAACTACATTTTGTTTCTTAGCCTAAAATCACAATAAAAGGAAACCAAAGAATGAAGTAACTTGAATGGTGTTAAGCAGATATTTACACATTTTGAATAAGTCAAGAAGGGCTTAAGGACATGATAGTTGAATTGTTCTATATAAAAGATACACTAAGCTTTTTCTAGCTTCACTTAAAAATATCTGTAAATATTTCAGTAAAGGCAGAAACATGATAATGGAAAAGATTGTGGACTGTATGCTTGTGGACTGTGTATAATACAACATTTAAAATCCACTAGATTATTATTCTTTTTTGTGGCTCTTGGCATACTTTCCCCCTTAATATAATGAATATAGTCTAGGAAGACTGAGAGATGCCATGATATAATCACTAAATGATGTGAGTCATGAAAAACAATCAAAATCTTTTAAGAACGGGAAGATAAAGGATAGGGTAGTGGGCAGGGGAAAGGAGAAAAAGTATATTATTGCTTTCTCAGTACAAAAACTCTTCAGATGTTTATTATCTTCCAGCAGAAGATGCTTGTCTATATTTTATGGTCAGCAGTTCAGAGAAGGGTAAATAGACTAGGTCTTGGGGAAAATAAAAAAGGTGTTTCTACTCACCGTTAGGTGATACTGCCTCCAGATTTCTGTGCAAGCCTGGAAAATAAAAATATTGATCAGCTGGGAGCATGAAACAAGGTACTTTACAGCCTGTTGGTTTTGGCATAACCCAGCATCCACCGGTGTCGGTCACAGGAAAATAAGAAGCTTAACAGAAAGGGTCTGCATTTCAGCTTCAAAAACCTGGCTAGACAGTTTAATTGAATTTTACACTGGTTTAACACACTCCCTGCCATTGTCAGAAAGCCAGTAACAAAGTTTTCTCTCTCTTTTTTCTTTTCAGGTTAGAAGTTTTGGGCACTAAGATGTGATAAAGAGTCATAACTCAGTTAAACTGATAAATGAACATCAGTGGTCAAAAATCAATATGATTCACCAAGTACACCTTTTAAAAGAATATTCTGAACTTTGCTAGTGTGATAGAAAACAATTTAATAGCAACTGCTTTAAAAACATCTTACTGTGGCTCTATATTTATGATATGTGTTGTCATCTTTTACCTCATCACTTGGTGCTAACTTTCAATATTGTACAAAAGAAAATTAAAACCAAGAATAACAACAAAAACAACCACAAGAAACTAAAGTCCATGCCTTCTTCCTTAAATGTTGAATCTTTCCATATCCACATTTGTAGAGAAATAACTTTAAAAAACCAATAAAACCTCAATAATTCTGTAAAATATGGACTTACTGAGACTAGAATACGTTAACAACAAAAGAAACAAATAAGCAAATACACATAACAGAAGCAATGTAAAAATCAGTGATTAGGAGATATTTTCTCATAAAAATGCACACAAGTCTTCTTATGCCTAAACTATGATCTTGTTCAGAAGACACTTTTTCTAGCCAAGATGTTTATGCATAGTTGATCAGTTTACCACCTTCTAAGGAAAATCACTGTTGACAACATAAAGTATGTTTTTTGTAACTATATCAATAATTTTAATAAATTAAAACATCAAGCTAAGTAAATGGTAATTCTTAAAATGAATGTGAATTTATAGCTTTTGTTTACAGATGCATGCCTAAAATTAGGGTAAGTTAAGACTTTTGGAAACCTTTACAGTTTTTGACATATACTTTGAAACAACTCTTGATTTGTTATTCTCTTTTCATTTATTTTTCATAGTGGTGGTAAAACTAACACAGATAATTCATACAATCTGAAAGTATCATGGATATGGTAAATAATTCAAGAAACAATGCCAAAATCTCTACTGATCATACCATAAGTGATTAGATTTAAAAAAGTATATATGTTCCAATATGCTGAAAAATGTTATCCTTTATGCTTTTTAAGCTTAACTATCCTATGTAATTTCCTATAGAGAGTTGTGTAAATTAGACTGTTTAGCGGTTAGGTTTCCAGTTTTAATGTCATATTCACGGAAACTAAAGTGCCTGACTGAAAAAAGCGACATATCCAATGATTTCTGGATAAACAACACTGTTGAAAATAAAACTATTTTTAAGATGCAAAAAGTTGCTTGAGAAGGCAAAGACTATGTTAGTACCAAATGACACCAACAAACCTATAGGTTACAAAAGTTCTTAAGAATATATATATATATATCAATAAATATCTATTTTTATAAACAGATTTTCACACAGAGATCTAATGCACAATATAATATACCCTTAAAATATTCATTTCCTTTTCTATCACAAGCATTTTGCTGTGTATATATAACTTTAGTTGGATTATTGTAGAAATAAGCAAGCAGTTATTTATACATTAGTTATGGATAGTTCTTGATTACCACAGTGTCCTCAGAATAATACGGTTGAAAAATTGTAATCACTGAGTTGTCATACACTGGCAGAATGCCACTCTACCATGTGACCTTTTTTTGTGTTGCAGCAATTTAGTAATAAAAGGAAGAATTACTTGGTTTTTGAACAATCTTCTGATTGCTCTGTACACGAAGATGATGCCTGATTCAGAAAATTAGTAGTGAGAGACATGAAACTTCTTTTCACTTATTAGACAATAATATTATAATTTTTCAAAACCCTACTTGACTATCTTAAAAGTACTTTTTCTCAACATTCTCATGCATAGTTTTGTTTTACCATTTATTACATAACATATTTCTGTGTGAGGTTAAAAAGAAATATTTTTTACTTCAAAATAGGTGTCAATATAGGGCACATGCCTTTATTTCTAAATATATAACTATAACTAAGTATCATGAATATATTTATTTTTTAAATACATTTTTAAAACCGTAATTTTTCTTCTTGCTTCCTATGGCTTCAACTTCTTTTTACCATTTTGAGTTCTTGCACATGTTTTTCTTCTTATCAAATAGAATGTCATAGTATCCACATTTACATATCAATTTCATGAAAAATTATACTGGGGTGCCCAAAAAATGTATACACACTTTAAGAGGTGTTAAGAGGTGCTTGCCGTAATCACAAGTGTCTGGATGTTGGTGGTAACCACTCTCTCACCTCTTGTAACTGCACAAGTCAAACGTGACTTGTATTCA